TTCACACTGTGCGGTGTCCTCATTGCACAGTGTCCCCCCGCGACAGAAAACATCTTCTTGTTGAAAGTCCCAATCTGCATCTTTGTTTCCAAAGTTGTAACAGACTTGATGTACAATAACCGCAGAATATCCATCATTGCAGAAATCTTCTGCTGGGGCCCTTATGCGGTCACCCACGTTGTACACCGAGCCATCCATTTCACATGTTGGCGGTGGTACAAACTCACAAACTGCCGCCCCTCCTTACTCCACACACTGCTCACCACTATGGCCACAGTTCGATGTCTGTCCAAGGTCTTCGTAAATCTCAAAAGACCCGACACCGTTCACTTCTTCACATTGTTTGTAGGTGGCAGCAACAATGTCTCCATCACAGTATGCAGGAAGATCAACTCTATCATCGTAATTGTAAATAATGCCATTGTCCTCACATTGGACACCAACACATGAGGCTGACTCTTGGTTGCAGACCTTACCGATACCACACGATGCTAGGTCGTCGTCAGCTCTCCAATCTACATTGTTGTTTCCAAGATCGGTGCAAACTTCATACGCTGTCACTGCCGCATAGTAGCCCGCACAGTGATCCTCTTGTTGAGCTCTAATGCGATCACCTATGTTGTAGGTCACACCATCCCTGTCGCAGGTTCTTGGCACGGGCAGGCATTGTGCTTGTCGTCCTTCTTCACCATCCATCGTGACGACGCAGTGCTCATCATCCGCGCATTCGAGGCGATCGTCGTCGCCACGCCAAGTTGGGGAGGAATTGACGCCACTGCAAATGTCAAAGCCGGTAACGGCAATTCGATTGTCATCGCCCTCGCATCCACTCCACTCTGAGTTTTGAATGCGTGCCCCCACAGGATAAATGACTCCATCCTTTTCGCAGTGGTGGTCGTCAGCTTTCACAGCAGCCACGATCAGAGGCAGAAACAAGACAACAGTATTTGATTTCATGTTTGTTATTTGTTTTCAAGTTGTTAGCTCGTCAGGAGAACTAGATTTTGTGAGCACTTGTTGCACTCAGAGCCACTGCTCACATTGGGTTGAGAGCGGCTTGGATTCCGTCACTAACAAATAACACGGAGACACGTCGGCCAGGCATACTTTAGTTTTTTTAATAGCTAAATAAATATCGATAAGACATCAACTCAAACCGTCCAAATTTTTGCATGTTAGGGTTGGGGATAGTGTACACACACAACCAACACCAACCAACATCAGCACCAATCGATCGAAGCAAGCCAATAAGAAGAAGACGATGGCGTCCATACAATACCATCCATCTCCAAGGCAACACAGGAGCAGCACCCACGCACAGCTACAAGCAGTAGCCAACATCAGCAGGAACAGCACCATTGTCTGGCTTGGCCATATCTGCAAGCGACAGAGAAGAAGAGATGAGATGAGTGCATCAAGACAACAAGCAACAACAACAATCCACGCTGGAGCCGACTCACTCTTCAGAGGCACTGGGACAATCCTTTCTGGTATGTACCATCATCGGAGTCAGAGTCATCGTTGAGCATGGTGCCTCCTTCCAAACTGCTTGATGATGGAATTGAAGCCGACACTATCCTCAGAAGCCATCGAATCATCCGCAGACTTGTCGGTCTTGACAGGAGTCTTGACGGGAGTCTTGACGGGAGTCTTGACGGAGTCCATGGAGACATCAACATCCTTCCACTTGGCATCGACTTCAACGCTGTCATCGTCACTGTCCTCTTTCTGGAGGAGGAGGTCGGTGCTGTGGATGAAGTCCAAAATCCTTTTCGAGGCCGCGGCCTTGGACGTGTCGACGTCCGAACGCTGACAATAGTGCGATCCCATTGATTCCT